GGAAGGAAAAATAGAACTGCTCCTGTACTATAAATATTAAAACATTGAGGGAAATATCTTCCCAGTAAAAAAAAAAGTAGACACTTGATATTAGAAACCCACATGCCTTTAAAACTCTAGGCCCATATCAGTTGTCTGAGGGAGGTACTCTTTGATTCTCACGGAAAAGGGATAGGTACCAGAAATCTGGAGACTGGCAGATGGGGAATATACAGGGTATCCAAAAAGTTGGAAACAAGATAAATAGTATGTTAGTTACATTCTCAAGTAATGTGCCCAGTATGTGTTGCTTCAACCTTTAGATACTTTTTAAGTGATATACTTCTGAATTGATAGCAGTAAGTCCAGTCGTTAACCTGAAAAATATGTTTAGTAAGTACACTACTTTTCCTGTTTCCAGACTTTTTGAATATTCTTTGGCTTATTTATTGTACTTTTTTCAGATTAAAAATTCAACCCATTGCTTAATGGCTATTGCTAGATGAGTTTCTAAACATTTTAAACGGTTTATTGTTAAAAACCCCTGACGAGAGAGCATCATGATGAAGCTTCCAGGAACTAGAATGGCTTCCCCAAGAATATCATGCTGATCCAGCTTCCCTCCCATTCAGTGAAGAGATTTCTAGCATGGTAGGACAAAGAAAACCACAAATCAGGAGGCTACTTTTTCATGACACTCCCATGAGAAATGTAAGCTGGATAAAACTTGATTTAAATGAAGTCACAACTGATTGGTCTACCCAAAAGGTTGGGTTGATGACTTCATGGCTGCTTATAGAGAGGGCTTATCTATGGCAGGGTGTTGTGGACCTCTGCCTTGGTTAATATCTGTGTCTCAAGTTTGTGAATGTCTGGGAGCAACACTAATACTGGGTAAATAGCTCTAAATTTAAACTGTGCTGAACACTCTTGAATGATGAGCTAAAACTAACAAGGAAGAATTTTACAATCTAATATTCAGGCTCAAAATTTAAACTGTAGAAGTGCTGAGTCTCTAGCAGTAGAGTTTATTTTAGAAAGAACTGATGGCTTTTTCCTACTATCCGATGTATCTTAGAACTGAGACACAGCTAAAATATATGCTAACCATCTTAGGTTCTATTAATACAAGTACTTTATCTACTTCAAAATAGGCCCATCACACCTATTGGTGTTCAGTTTGGGATGGCACATTTTAAAGAGATGTGACAAACTAGAAGTGATCAGTCTTTGGAGGTTGATTAATGCTCACCAAACTCAAAGGACACTGAAGGATAGGCAGCAGTACCATGAGTATTAGAACTGCCACAGGGAATTGCCTTCCAAGTCACCTGCTCATTCATTCATTCATTCATTCATCAACAAATATTTATTGAGAACCTAACCATATGCCGGGCACTGTTGGAGGCTTTGAAGGTATGAAACACAAATTCCTGCCTTCGTGGAATTTGTATTTTAGTATGGGGAGACAGAGAAAAAGTAAATAGGTTAATAATATAACGTTTGAAGGTTATGCATGCTACAAATGGTATGGTCAGAGAAGGCGTGGCCGAGAAAGTGAAGGAATTACTATGTAGATACCAGGAGTAAGAGCATCCACATAGAAGAACAGCAGGTTCAGTGGCTCTAAGCCAGGAGCAGACTTGGAGTGTCTGTGGAACAACGAAGAGGTCAGATGTGATGGAATGAAGTGAGAAAGAAAGGAAGAGAGGTGAGAGGACAGTAAGGAGATGAGGTCAGAGAAGTCATAGTGTGTTGTGTGGGGGTGCAGATTATATAGAGTTTATAGGCGTTGGAAAATTGTTGACTTTTATTCTGAATAAGATGCGAAGCCATTGGAGGGGTTTTGGCAGAAGAAAAACTTGATCTAACTTTTTTTTTTTTTTAAAGATTTTATTTATTTGACAGAGAGAGACACAGCGAGAGCGGGAACACAAGCAGGGGGAGTGGGAGAGGGAGAAGCAGGCTT